AGTTTGATTAGGATTTAATGGGAGAACTCCAGGAAATACAATGGTTGAAAGCTACAGTGGAAAAATAAAAAATAACTAGAACAAAGCAGTAACAACCACTTTCTAAGAGCATGCTTGAGTCCCATATAGAGAGTAAGAGTTAAATTCCATTTGAAGGAAGCTTTAGAGTACAGTGGAATGAAAGATGCAGTCTTTTCTAATCATACATAGCTGCTTATGCCAACTTACTGCACCCAATGTTAACAGCAAGCATAACCATTAAAGTTTGAGTTATCTTCAGAATTATATGACTATGATGGGAGTGCTTTCAAGTTAAGCATTTATAATTGTACAGCCTCATTAATTGTACAGAAGATCCAGGTAACACAGATTTTTCTGTCTTTTTTTCCCCTTACCACAGTATTAAAGTGAATTGTCAACAGAAGAAAAGGTGGAAGAATTTTTGGTTAGCAGTCCTAGGAATTTTTCCATCAGAAAGAATGGAGGCTTATAGTTTTATCACAGAATCTCAGTATTATTTATCTGGTACTACTGACACTACTGCATTTTAAAAATGAAAGAATAAAGAAAAAGCTATTGTGTTACAGACTGACTGGGCAACACAATTATATGTTTGTGTGTGTGAATTGCTTAGAAAACAACTTCAAAGATATCGTGAGCCTAAATCATAAGTCATGACATGGCAATTTTGTTGGTTCAAACCAATTATCTCTTTCACAGCAGAATGGAAGTTGTTGAAATTCTCTGCTACCACCAAAGATGATATTTTACTCACAAACCAAGAGAGCGCATTTTCAAGCAGTTAGTAATCTCTCTGGAGGCCAATTGTTGGTTTTTAAGCACTCAGCACTTTGTGGCTCTTATTGACCATTATGCTTAAAGGTGAGTTTTGTTTGTTTGTCTGACATATAACCCTCAACAATTCAACCCACTTGTCCACAAAGGATGCCCTGTGTAAAAGCTCTCCTTCACTGATATAAAGTGCTGACTCCGTGATTTCCAGCTGTATAAAAAGATATTACAAACAGCATGTCAAATAAGTCTTTACAAGAACCACTGAGAATAGGGCATAAGGCCACTTTTTTTTAATCAGCCTATCCAATAAATACACATAGGCTACTACCAGTAGCATAAACAAAAAACCCTTTTTGTTCTACCCAATGTCATGGTTAAGATGAAAAGGGAAAACATTGTAAAATGTATGAACATGACCATACATCCTGTTTGTACTAGTACATAAAGAATCACTGTTGAGCAGCAGCAAGAATGGCATTTGCTCAACTGTGGAAAGATGCAGATACACCCCCTGACCATCTGATAATAAACAAGATTCTCCGATGTGCTGAGATGGACAGGCTAACGTATATCTTAAAAGACAAGAAAGATTCAGTATATAATAGAAGTTGGGACAGATGCTTTGTCTGGCTCAAAAGAAGGTTAAACCTAGAAGGGTGATAAGATCGTCTAATTAGATTAACTAGATATTTACTAGCAGGGTGGATAAAAATCAATGATTTTTTTAAAAAAATCAAAAAAATCAGATTTTTTTATTTAAATCGGATTTTTTTGATTTAAATCGAATTTATTTTAATAAAAAACTTTTGGGGTAAAAATCTATCGTAAGATAGTTTTCTATTTAAGATACATAAATAATTGAGTTTATTCAGCATGAAATGGAGCTTAGTTATGTAGCATGAGGCTGTATATTCTGCAACACTGGGACTATCGGTGAGTCAACAGTGGGTCAAAGGAGTAGCAGAGATGACAGTTGCTCTTTAAAAATTATGATTTAAATCGAGTTGATTTAAATCAAGCCTTTTTACTAGTGATTTAAATCATGATTTAAATTGTGATTTAAATCAACTCGATTTAAATCAAATCCACCCTGTTTACTAGGCTATATAATTCTTTATAATTTTGATAATAACAGGCCAATTGTTTTGTAGATAGTTAAAAGAACTTGATTGCATTGAAATGTTTGGCTAGGATGATTAGTTAATATTAATTGGAGAGTGAGTTTAACTCTCGGTTAGTCATGTTTGTTGTCTCGTTTTAGTCTTGTGTTTATGTGTTTCTATATTTCACTTCTTATATTGCTTTCCAATCATTATTGTGTGTTAATTTTACTGTAAAAATTTAATAAAGATATTTTTTAAAAAACAAAAAGAATCACTGTTGAGGACTTTGGCACATAGTGCTAGCCTCAACCCATCCCCTCAGCTTACCAAAATATAACTTCTGCCCGTTTTTCTTCCTCTTTAAAAGGGTTTCAGCTTCTGCCACTGCAAGCCAATCTGTTGCAAATCATTCTGAGTTGAGGAGGGCTGCCCTGTGCCATCTCACACTATGACAAATATGTCCCCTCCAGGTCTTTGTCCACAAATTTTTAATGTTGTCTGCCTTTTGGCAGTGAAGAACAGTTAGGGCTCTTCCATTATGGCAAAGCACCATGACTTCCACCTCCATGGCCAGTCCTTGAAGCAAGGAGAGGAAGACAAGCTTTTGTGCCACTTTGCCCCACTTCTCTTCCCACAAGAAAATGGAAGTAGTGTGGACACAGCTTCACATTATTCTAACACAAAGACAGGCATTGTTCTTTACTAGGATACAATTAAGTAATATGCAGTGAATTCCAACTGAATGGAAGATTTGGGCAAGGTGAATCAATCCAGATATTACTTTGTTTTTCATACTCCTCTTGGAAGATCTGCCAGTGCAGCAGAGTAGATAATATATTGCATTAGGACTGGGAAAGCCCATACCATCATACTAACTCCCCAGTTGGTCAATGGATATAGCCCTCTATTTTGACTTGGGCTACAATACCTTTTGCTTACACAGGGGCATCTGCCTGAATATCTGACCCTTGAGAAATGATACTATCGTGAACTCTTCTTGCACACAAATCTACCAATCTTCTTTTAAAACCCTGCCTTTTTATTCAGCTATCTTCCAAAAAAACCAATATCTCTGAACAAAATCAAACTCTGGAGGTGGTTAGTAAACTAAGAAGATCCCACCTCCATTTTGTTTATATATTGGTTCCTTTCTTAGCTAGGGTTTTTTTTGTTGTTGTTAATTTTAATGTTTTAACTTTTAATGTTTTATAATGTTGTAAGTCGAAGTCATTCTATAGTAAAAAAGAAAAGGAAAGGAAACAAAGAAAGGGGAAAAGGGGAAAGGAAAGGCTAATACTGGGGAAAAGATCTTGCAGTACAAATTTTTCACTTGTTGCGAGGAGGTTGCCTAAGACCATCTCATACCGACTTTATTATTCATTGGTGATGGGACCAACACCATTTGGGCTTCTCCAATTTTGCCACAAAAGTACATTGAGTTGCCAGCTCCATCTTTCAATTCTATTGCCACAGGTCTCAAAGTGCAGTTGAATCTTTGCTACATAGTAATGTCTTTCTTAAGATTGATAAATCAAGGTCAAAAATGTTAAAATAGTTGGGGCATGGGAGGGATGTGGAAAGCAGCAGGACAAAACCCTGAAAATAGGTTTGCAAACCCTTCCCACTCGATAGGTTACTTTTCCCTTTTTTTATTACAGGGAATATTGATGTTAATGCAGGTATAGTGTGATCTTCAGAAGGTTCCTATTCCTGGAACAATTTATCTCCTGGCTTCCTTGTCAAGAGAGATGCAGCAGGGATTTGGGTGTGATGGGAGGAAGGGGCTCTGCTCTTAAGCCTACAATCCATCTTTTGCTCCATTTTACAATCTCTTTCCTGTCCAGGGCCATCCCAACTCGTCTTTAATTCAGCAACTGTAAAGGTTACTACAGTACACTTTTTGTCTCAGGCGCACGTCCACAGTCCCCAAGCAATAGAAAGCAGTCGACCCTTTTTGCTATTGGCGGTCGATACAGGGAGGGCGGGAAATGAAACCAGGGCCTCAGCCAATCACTGCACTGAAACCCTCCCACGTTGAATCTGTAGGGGACTGCTCTCCTCAAGGCTGCGATGGCCGCGTGGTTTAAGTTGATGCGCTTTCTGCCAGCTCAGCAGCTGGCGGGAAGGACCAACAACGAAGCAAGAGCGAAAAGGCCTTAAAAGTTTCATCTCCCTCGACCAGGGACCTTTGAGCTCTCTTTCCCTATCAGTCTCCCCGTCTTTTTTTCCCCACCGCATAACGTTGTTGCCGGGAGGTTCAACGTCCACAAAAAAGCCTCTCTCCTAGCTTTTTAAGTGAAATGCAATGCAGAAAATAAAGCCGTTTGATTGCCATTTCCGACTGGGGGGAAGAGAGAGGCAGCGAAAGAGGCGGGAGGATTTTTTTTTCTTTTTTTCCTTCTCCTGGCAGCCTGGGAGGAGTGAAAAGTGAAAAGCCACGAGAATGGAGCACGGAAATGGGAGCTTTCATTTCTGCATTGCATTCCTCGGAAAGTTCCTTTTCCCTGCACAACCTCGTGGCTTTTCATCCCTCCCCGGCTGCCAGCAAAAAAAAAAAAAATTCCTTCTGCCTCTTTTCGCTGCCTCTCTTCCCCTCCAAACAAATGGAGCTTTCATTTCTGCATTGCATTTCTCCGAAAGCTCCTTTTCCGTGCTTTTTCCATTATCGTGGCTTTTCACTTCTCCCCGGCTGCCAGGAGAAAAAAAAAAATCCCTTACGCTCCCCAGTTCGGAAATGGCAAACAAGCGAAAACCGAGACTCTCGTCCAAAGAGGTGTTGGAAAAGCGGCAGACCCTCGCCAAGTCTCTCCCCTCCCGAGCCAACCCGCCGAACAGCGGCGACGGCTTCTCTTTTCTGCCGCCTCTCGCTTTTCGCAGCCTTCGCTACCGCCGAAATGGAGCCTCCCCGGCTTCTTTTCCAGAGCGAGGGAGCGGCTCCGGGTATTCACAATCGCGTTTCCCGCTCCCGACTTCTCTCGGCGGCCTTCTGGGAGGTTTCGCAAAGGAGGAAGGCGGCGCAGTTTCAGGAAGAGGGAGGCGGGGAGGGAGGAAGAGGCGGGCCGCCGCTTCTGCTACCAGGCCGCGGTCCTGGTCGGGCCTTTTGCTGGCGGAACAAGAAGGGGGACCGGAGCCCCAAGAGTGAAGAGAATAGCCGGCCCTTTCCCATGCAACTTCCCCAATGTCAGACGCGGCGGCAACGGCGGCGGCTCAGCTCTGAGCGGCGGCTCCCATCCTCCCCATTCAACTCTCCCTCTTGGTCTCTCTTTTTTTTCCCCCCTGCTACAGGGGCGCGACTCCCAAACTGCGACCCCGGCCTGCCCGGTTAAAAAAAAAAAAAAGAGGGGGAAAGAAGAGGATCCGTGGGTGGTTTCCAGCGCGAGTCGCAAAAATGACGAGCCGGGGTCCCCCGGCCTGGGCTTCCCGGCGGCCCCAATAAAGCCCGGGCGGAACAGCCTCGTATGAGGCTATTCCGCGGCCCAGGGGGTGCCTCCGCCAGGCTGCTGTGGTGGTGGTTGCTGAGCAGAGGAGCCGGAGACCCAGGCTGGCGAGGGGAGCCTCTCGAGATCCGCCTGGGTCTCTTCCGCCCAGTCCCCTGTCAGACGCGCCCCCCTTCTTGCACCCCGTGGGAAGGGAAGGCATGTCTTCTCCCAGCTCCGTGGACATGATTGAAAACCCCCCGGTGCTCAACTTCGAAGAAATCGACTACAAAGAGATAGAGGTGGAAGAGGTGAGAGGGTCTGCAATGGTGGGAGGGAGGAGGAAACCGCGTCCCTGGGGTCCTAAGCGTAACTCTTTTGGAGAAACTCCTGTATTTCGAAGAAACTTCCTCGGATGTCTGTGTGTATCTCTGATCCTGATTTGGAAGAAATGTCTACACGGGATATTGTGGGGAGAAAGGTAGCATTGAAAAAGTGCCACGGCTCAAGTCAAGATGCCTTCTTGACTTGAGTTTTTTTCTCAGTTATTCCGAGATGGGAGCAAACCAATTGTTTCCATTGGTGAAGAAAAGATAAGTCAGGATAAGGGCACTGCCTACGGTGCAAAATGTTGACCGCAAGAGGAAAAGATCAAGGTATAAATTCACACTTGGGAAACTCACTGGGTAATAGTGAGCCTCTGTTTCTCAGTTTGACAGAAAAAAATGGAGTTTTTTTTTTCTAATGCGACAAAACCACATGTCCAATGGTTTTTATTTAAGTGCTTAGGGCCAGGCTTTTATCCTAAAATCTAGTTTTAAAGTTCACCTGTTGCAAATTGATATGACTGAACAGACAACAACATATTGCAGTTGCAGCTCCTATCATGAAAATTGCTTCATCTTGCAGTTACAGCATATATCTAAAACTTATAATTTTTAAAGAAAAGTCTGTTACATTTAATATAATAAGAACAAAACAGATGTTTGCTTTTAAAGAAGAAAAACTTCTGGATCTAAATGGCCAAACAAATGTATAGATCATACATTACCAGTAGAAGTTATATGTACATAGAATTTTGAAAATCACCCAGGATAATAAACTCATTACTAATGTCCTACAGAAATGTATGTCCTACAGAAATAAGTGACAACTACTTAAAAATATATCTGCATGCTGGTTTTAGCCAATTTAAAATGATTCCAAAACTATGTACGAGTAGATGTTTTTTCAGACAGATCTAATCAATATCTCCAAATCTATTTTCTACAAGGAAAGTGATGCCAAGGAAGATCTTAGTAATAGCATAAGTGAAGTCACACTTATAGATAAGCTGTATTATACATTATCTGATAGTAAATCTTTTAAACAGTGTACAATATTGTGGAATTAACAAATGACATAAGAAAAGCTTGTAAAGCTTTTTTATATAATGTTTTGAAAGGTGCAGATTTGACTGGTTTTAACACTTAAAATTTGCAATTTATAGTGTTACTCTACAATATTAACATTGTTAAAATTGTATGTTTATATTATAAACCACTTTCAGAAGTTCAGAATAACTCAGCTTCAGAAGTTAACTAAGAAATGTTTTAAATAAATTAATGCATATATATGCACAGCCCTATAACTTGTTTGCCGGTTGTGTTACCTTCTCTATATTGAATTTGGAAATGTTAGAATCATCTAAGCCCATATGAAGAAATAATAACCATGCAGTTATGTTTTATAATAATGGCACTCCCCGATAAAATCCTTTTAATTTGTATAAAAAAACTTTTGGGGATGTTTTGCTATGTCAAATCTGATGCTCCTTTTGCTGTAAAGATACACTCCTATGAAACATTTTTGGTGAGTATATCCAGTGGTGGGATTCAAGTAATTTAACAACTGGTTCTCTGCCCTAATGATTTCTTCCAACAACTAGTTTGCCAAACTGTTCAGAAAGTTAACAACCGGTTCTCCCGAAGTGGTGCGAACTGGCTGAATCCCACCACTGAGTATATCTCATTAAATTCTGTGGGATTTAACTCTTCTTTCTGGGCTGGATCTGGCTAAGTACACATCATCATGCTAATTTTTTTGGATTTCATTTTATAAGATGTGAGAACCAGGCCAATATTGTTTGTTTGATAAATTATGGCTAAGTCTTGGTTTAATATGAAATGTGAATATAGTGTTAATTTCACACTATCTGAGTTGCAATTTTCCACAGGCATACATTTTAGACCCACAATAAACAATGGCTAACAGAAATTAAATATTTTTGTGTTAAGCTTCCACACTGCAATGGATAAGAGAAAAGGAAAAGGCCTTGGTTAATATATTTCCAGCATGCTCCTCTCTTCTATGGTTCTTTTTGGGTTTGTTTCTAGACATCATAACAGAATCCTGCAAGTTATTCATCCCATCAATTGTGTCTAAAAGTTAAGTAAAAATCTCATGATTTTGTTGCTTGTCTTAGACAAACTGAAAGTTGTCAAATGCTTAGCAGGCTACTATAAAGAGCTTCTCAAGGTTGACAGATTATAAATTTGGACAGACCTTTTGCAGAATATAAATATGTATTTTTCTATGACATTGTAGAATATTAAGAAAAGTTGCAAGTTGTTTTTAATAGTTGCTTCAAAATTTCCAATTGTCTTTTTATTCAGGTTGTTGGACGAGGAGCCTTTGGAGTAGTTTGCAAAGCAAAATGGCGGGGAAAAGATGTGGCCATTAAGCAAATAGAAAGCGAATCTGAACGGAAAGCCTTCATTGTAGAGGTATAATTTCATTCTAGAATTTGTTCAAAAGAATTTGATAGGTACCAGAATAATTTTAAAAAAGATGTACAGTGAAAATTTTACTGTCTGTAAGCTGTAATTAGAACTGGTATTCATGGATTTATTCAGGGTGTGTGTGTGTATATATATATATATATATATATATATATATATATATATATATAGTATATACATAGTGTTTTTGAAATGAATTTGAGTTATAGATAAGAGGGTGAACTGGGAATAAGAATTCAAGAGTTCACTGAACTGTACATTCCCTGTGTACTTTCTCTTTTGAGGAATACTGCATTTTCTAAGTGATATCAGCATGGACTCAAATAAGTGTTCTGCTTCCTTGGTCATATTGACCCAAGCAAATTAATATTTTCCCTTTTGTTTTCAATAATTGCAGAGATCTCCTCTTCCTCCTCCTAGTGATTTGATATGCTTACTACTAGAACTGAACATTTGTAACTAATTCACACAGAATGTATGAACGTGACAGTATTTTATTTATGTTATAAATAACAAATGTCATTTTTTCAGAGACTCCATTTAGGATCACCATAATCATAATTTCAGGTACACCTGAAATTGTTCAAGCAGTTTATCCAGAAATAAATCATATTTCTAACATACCGCTTAATATCTATGAGTGACCTACTTTCTTTCCATAAAATGTGAAGTATATTTACATAGGATTATTGCTATTTAAGTTATTGAGCAGAGACATTATTTGAAAATACATTAAGTAAAAAAGTTGAATACATTTAGGTTGACATTTAGGGGCAGAACTTTCCAATGGGAAATACTAATGCATACATCTTACTCTTAAAGCTATCCAATAAATTCTATTCCTTTCTGTCTAATACTTACGAGTACTTTATTATCATACCATTCAGTTAATTAATATTCTAAAAGGATTAGGACAATACTGTGCTTTGGATTTGAAAATAAAATGTTTGTACAGAGGCAGAAATATAGCACCTTTCTGTAACTCTTAGAGCAGCTATGGCTAGTGTGTGTCTTTTACAAAGTTTTAAAACACACTCAAAAAAGAATTAATGAATAGAATAGAATAGAATTTTTTTTATTGGCCAAGTGTGATTGGACACACAAGAAATTTGTGCATATGCTCTCAGTGTACATAAAAAGACAAGATACATTCGTCAAGAATCATAAGGTACAACACTTAATGATAGTCATAAGGTACAAATAGCAGTCAGGAAACAATATCAATATAAATCGTAAGGATACAAGCAACAAAATTAGTCATACAGTCATGTGTGGAAGGAGATGGGTGGTGGGAACGATGAGAAGTTTAATAGTAATGCAGACTTAGTAAATAGTTTGACAGTGTTGAGGGAATTATTTGTTTAGCAGAGTGATGGCATTCGGGAAAAAACTGTTCTGGTGTCTAGTTGTTCTGGTGTGCAGTGCTCTATAGCGTCGTTTTGAGGGTAGAAGTTAAAACAGTTTGTGTCCAGGATGCAAGGGGTCTGTAAATATTTTTACAGCCCTCTTTTTGACTTGTGCAGTATACAGGTCCTCAATGGAAGGCAGGTTGGTAGCAATTGTTTTTTCTGCAGTTCTAATTATCCTCTGAACTGTTCCAGAAACAACATACTATATAAAAGAAAATGCATCCCGCAGAGGCTCCGTCTCCATTTTGTTCAAAGTCTGGGAAAATAGCTAAATCTTTAAAAACTTCCTGAACATGGCACATTTGGATCTCTGTGAGGATATCATCCCAGAGGGCAGATATTGCAACAGGAAAAATGCAGCTATTCTTGGTTTAAGGAGTTGCAAATAGAGTCCATAGTGTCATCTCTTTAAAAAGCAAAAAAAAAATGCTTTCAAAACTAAAACCTTTCATATTTCTAATTCATATATACATATATAACAAAATCAACAACGTAAAGGTTTATTTTAAATTATGTGAAGCAAATTGCTGGATCCAAGACACATGTCTCTTGTTAGCATCTTAAGCTTACAAATTCAACATCAGCCTGATGCGGCTGTATGCGAGTTGATCTGTAATGTTCATTTGAATTGATCTAAGTCAAAACTGATTGCCTGAGTGTATCTTTTTTTCCCAGCCATAGTAGGGATCTGTAGTTAACCTTTTTTTTTCCATTATAAAAGATAGGAATCAGTCCTTAATTTTATTTATAATCATAAAACAGTGAGAAGGGTTTTTGCTGCTCTAGAAGCCTCAAAAAAAATAATGGAATGAAGTTGCTCTTTCCTTAAATCTTTTGGCAGTCCGAAAGGTGCCCAGTCCAGTAGCTTTCTTTGTATTTGAGTTTGCAGAAGCTCAGAATTAGGAGTATAGTATTGAAGGAAGTGAAAGGCAACCATTCTACCTTAAAATTATCTGCACTTGAAAAGAAGGCATGTGGTCTATCATTTTCTCTTGATAACAAGCCAAGTATTCCCAGTCTTCCAAATTCCAAATTCTTTGTTGAAAATTTGTGGATGTAGGAGAGTCTTTCTAAAAGATGCTGTAGTTTATAAAACAATTGTACTACAGCATTATCTCAAGATAGAACTAAACGTATTTCTGGAATCAAGTGTAGACACTGTTAATTATCCTGATGCTATGCTCCCAGCATAGAGAATAGATTGAGAGCAGCCGAAAGACATAGGGAAGATTATTGAACTGAAATATGAATCAAGGTAATATCGTCATAGGCATTTAACAATCACATCTGATAAATTAGCATACCCACATCCACTTATAGTGAGACAATTTGCCCAGTAATTTTTCAGAAATTCTTTTTAAAAGGTAGCTTCTACATTAGCCAATATACTCTGACTAATTTAAACATGGAACTGACATGCTGCTCTTATGCTGCAGAATATATATATAGATATATAATTAATCTGCTTTTTATGATCATTTATACAACGAAAAGTTTTACGTCAGAGAACTTAAAATACATTGCTTTTTAAAATTTCAGCTTCGACAGTTGTCACGTGTGAATCATCCTAATATCGTCAAGTTATATGGAGCTTGTTTAAATCCAGTAAGTAGCAACTTTTGGACAGTCTCTTTATTTAAATGAAATATTTGGCTTATTTACATATTGTAAGTTGAATTTTTCATTTATGAGAAAAGTAGTCCTTTCGCATTCAGTTTGAAATATACAGGTTTCCAATTTCCATTCCAGCTTTGTTCTATAGATTTATTGATCAGTGTTTCACTACTCTATTCTGGTTCTAAATTAAATGAAGAGCTTCTAAAATTTATTTTCTTTATCAGCATGCATAAATGTTAACAACTGAAACATATTGTAGATGACCACAAGAGTATTACCAGGATTTTTAATATCCGTTAATGTGCATACTCAGTTGAATAAAGGAGAAAAGAAGAAGAAAAATAGAGCAATTACATCTCTGACCAAATCTGTACATGTAGTTGTTTCTGCACAGTCTAAGGATTAAAACAGAATTACTGTATTTTTTGGTGTATAAGAAGCACTTCCCTCCCCCCCAAAAGTGAGTGGAAATATCTGTGTGTCTTATAGAGCGAATGTGGCTGAAGCCCCGCCCATCTGCCAGCCCCCACCCTTCGGCCTCTGCCTCCCAGCCATTTGCCTCCTTGCAGCAAACAGCCTGGTCAGCTTCAGCACAGCCTGATTTAGCACCAGCAGGTTATTGGGGTTGGATCTGTCTCCCGGAATACCGCCTATCAGCTGTTCCAGGCTGTGGGGATCGCCACCGCCCATCGCTGCTGCCACCTTCTGCCGCCTCTGCATGTCCCATTTTTGGCCTCCCGCACGTGCACCCCATTTTCGGTCTGTTCCAGGCAGCGGGGATAGGCGGCAGCAATCCCCGCTGCCTGGAACGGGCCAAAAATGGGGTACATGAAGCCCCAAAACGGGAATTGGGGAGGCCAAAAATGGGGCACGCAGAAGCGATGATAAACAGCAGCGGTGATAGACAGCAGCAATGGGCGGTGGCGATCCCCACAGCCTAGAACAGCTGATAGGTGGTATTCCAGGAGGCAGATCCAACCACCAATCAGCTGCTCGTGCTAAATCAGGCTGTGCTGAAGCTGACCAGATTGTTTGCTGCAAGGAGGCAAATTGCTGGGAGGCAGAGGCAGAATTTTATGTCTTGTTTTCCTCCCTATAAGGAGCGTCTTATAATTCGAAAAATATGGTATATATTATTAAAATATTAAAATAAGCTGGAAACATTTCATAAGAATACTTGTTCAAATACTTATTTCATATTAAAAATAATAATAAATTGGTCTTCTGCTTTTTTCCTCATTAGGTATGTCTTGTAATGGAATATGCTGAAGGAGGTTCTCTCTATAATGGTGAGCATCATTTTTGAATTGCATTGTCCAGAACACTGCCTAAAATGTTGCCATGATGATCTCTGGAGGGCTCGGGACAGGGGTTGCTCCTCTGTCCTGGTCCTATTAGACCTGTCAGCAGCTTTTGATACCATCGACCATAGTATCATGCTCCACCGGTTGGAAGAGTTAGGGGTGGGGGGCACTGTGTTGCGGAGGTTCTCCTCCTTTCTCTCCGACCAGTGGCAGTCTGTGTTGGCAGGGGGGCAGAGGTCGACCCCGAGGCCCCTCATATGTGGGGTGCCACAAGGGTCAGTCCTCTCACCCCTCTTGTTCAACATTTATGTAAAGCCGAGATCATCCGTGGTTTCGGGGTGAAGTACCACCAGTACGCTGGTGACACCCAGCTGTACATCTCTACCCCGGACCACCCCAATGATGCCCTTGAAGTGATGTCTCGGTGTCTGGAGGCCGTGCGGATCTGGATGGGGAGGAACAGGGTCAGGCTCAACCCATCCAAGACTGAGTGGCTGTGGTTTCCGACATCCCGATATAGTCAGTTGACGCCATCGCTGACTATTGGGGGCGAATCGCTGGCCCCCACGGAGAGGGCTCACAACTTGGGCGTCCTCCTGGATTCACGGCTGTCTTTAGAAGAGCATTTGACGGCCGTGACCGGGAGGGTTTTTCATCAGGTTCACCTGATTCACCAGTTGCATTCCTTTCTGGATCGGGACTCCTTACACACAGTCACTCATGTCCTCGTCATTTCCCGCCTGGACTATTGCAACACTCTCTACATGGGGCTCCCCTTGAGCACCCGGAGGCTCCAACTGGCGCAGAGTGCGGCCGCGCAGGTGGTTATGGGAGCGACATGGCGCTCCCATGTAACACCTCTCCTGTGCGAGCTGCACTGGCTCCCGGTGGTCTTCTGGGTGCACTTTAAGGTTTTGGTTACCACCTTTAGAGCGCTCCATGGCTTAGGACCTGGCTACTTACGGGACTGCCTACTACCACAAATAGCCTCCCACCGGCCGGTACACTCTCATAGAGAGGGGCTCCTCCGGGTGCTGTCGGCCAAACAGTGTCGACTGGCGGCCACCGGGGGAGGGCCTTCTCTGTGGGGGCACCCACTATCTGGAACGAGCTCCCCCCGGAGATACGGAGGATCCCGGATCTGCGCACTTTCCGCCACGCTCTTAAGACCTTCCTATTCCAAGGAAGCTGGCCTGGCCTAACCTTTTTCCCCTTTTCTTTTAAATTGAAAATTTTAAATCTGTTTTAAATTATTGGGATATTTTAAATTTGTCTTGGGCTAAATTGTTTAATCTGGTTTTATTTCTGCTTTTAAATTTTGTATTTATGTATTTTATTTTGTGCCTGTTCACTGCCCTGAGTCCTTCAGGAGTAGGGCGGTATATAAATCTAATAAAACAAACAAACAAACAATCACATTTCATGTTAATATATTATTGTATAAATGTCTTATTTGTTATAATAATTTTATGACACTGATTGTTCTGGGTTAAATTTTATTGTTACACTTTTGTTAAGCATTATGGTCTGCCTCATAGAGCAAGGGTACTGGATGGATCGATGGAAAAATTTAGATTTTTACCCAATTCAGGCTGTAAGAATTCCTTTAAAATAAAGCTGACCATTTTTTTTCCTGTTTGGGGCTGAGGGGCATTCTTGATCTTGTAGTGATGACTCAGCAGCAAATGAGATTGAGATAAAAAATTATTCAAATGTTATTAACATGCTCAACAGATACTGCAAATCAGTTGTAGTACAAAGAAAGGGGAAGTCAGAAATTAAATATTTACCTAGATTACTTTTAAGAATTTTTTTTTCTTTTTCTCTGTTCTATATATAAACAGATTATTTCTGGTCACACAGTTAATCATTTTCCCTTTAAGTCATACTGAACATTACAATTTGTGGCAATGTTTGGAGGTCTGTGATGGGTGCACCCAAGATTTTTGTTATAGAAGCATAGGAACAAAAATAAGTTCTGTTGTGTACTTCGTACGTCATGGAGCACTTTTCAGAAGTAGCATTCCCATTTTATATCTTCTGTAATGTACAATAAAATTCTTTTTAGTTTGTACCTTTGTTTTTCAGTCCTACACGGTGCTGAGCCTCTACCTTATTATACTGCTGCACATGCAATGAGTTGGTGTTTACAATGTTCCCAAGGAGTAGCATACCTTCACAGCATGAAACCGAAAGCACTCATACACAGGGACCTAAAACCACCAAAGTAGGTTTTCAAGAATTCTGTAAGACACTGTCATTCTTAAAGACTTTTTTCTAATAAGCCTAGAGAACATTGTGATTTGTAATAGTAATTCTCAGATGCAGTATAAGTTATTTGAACGTTATGTAAATATTTACTATATTTCATCAGCAGGAAAGGCTATAATTTTTATTTTTTTTAATGAAATTTATATGCCGCCCATCTCACTATCAAGCAGCCTTTGATTATCTTGATAATCAGCTGTAATAACTGCAGGAGAGCTAAAGCTTGTTACTCTATGATATTGTGATTAAAATTAATAACACTGATGTATTAGACTCAGATAACAAGCTGGCAGTCTTTCAGTTAAAATATGAAAGGAGGAATTAGTTACAAAGGAAACACTGCTGAAGTTCAGGTCTATACTGGATTGTTAAGAACAGTGGGCATCTGTGATCTGTTAAGCAAAGTTACCTTGTTTGTGAAATACATTTTTATTATTATATTTATCATTCGGATAAATCACTTGGACATATTTTCCATGTCACTCACCAAAATAAAAGCAAGATAAAATAAAACATAAAATTATTCTTTTAAAAGTAAATAGAGTGGGATGGACCCATCAAATGATTCATTGTCACCAGGTGTGGGGTGCTTTCACTAGAAGGGGGGTGGTATTGCTTTTATATTGTTTTTATATTGCTTTTTTATACTTTATATCTTTGTAAGCCAGCCAGAGTCATTGAGAATGAGTTGGGCATATTCATTTGAATGAATGGATGGATGAATGGTTAAAACTAGATATGGAGCAAAATAGTTGTTCCTGTAAAATCAGTCTTGATCTTTATACATTGCAGTTAAGTTATTTTTGCATTCAATAATGAATGGGTATAAACCTAGTTGCTCCATTCAATTTGATTGTGCTGCACAGTAGAATAAAAATTCCCTTCTCTCTTATGGCACTAAAGCACATTGTGATTTCTTCAGTGTTGACCTCTGTCTTCCCAAATTCACTTTTCTGACTTTTTTTTTTTACAATTACTAATAAAGATTGTCTACTTATTCCCTTTAAAAAGAAATATATTGCTTTTAATTACAGTAAAAATCTTACATCTACTTTTCACTTTTGTATATTAAATCTACAAACACTGTACATAAATTGCTTAGAGAATATTTTCTCTAATTCTTAACACTTCTTCTGGCAAAATACATATTGTAATTAAATTCTATTTGTTTTACAGTTTGCTCTTGGTGGCAGGAGGGACTGTTTTAAAAATATGTGATTTCGGTACAGCTTGTGATATTCAGACTCACATGACCAATAATAAGGGCAGTGCTGCTTGGATGGCACCTGAAGTTTTTGAAGGTAACAAAGTAATTTTGAAACTGACTACCATTCTCATGTGTATTATCAGCTTTAGTAATTTTTGTAGTAATTTTGATACAGAGATTCATTAGGTGTAGATATACTTTTTGCTGTTGTTTACAGGGTGGATTTGATTTAAATCAAGTCAATTTAAATCACGATTTAAATCATGATTTAAATCACTAGTAAAAAAAAGGCTTGATTTAAATCAACTCGATCTAAATCATAATTTTTAAAGAGCAACTGTCATCTCTGTCCTGCAGCAGCTCCTCCTCTGACCTGCTGTTGACTCACTGGCAGTCCCAATATTGCAGAATGTACAGTCTCATGCTACATAAAACTAAGCTCCATTTCATGCTGAATAAACTAAATTATTAATGTATCTTAAATAGAAAAATATCCTTAGATAGATTTTTAGTCCAAAAGCATTTTATTAAAATAAATTTGATAATAATCAAATCCAATTTAAATTTTAAAAAATGATTTTTTTTATTTTTTTAAAAAAATCGATTTTTATCCACCCTGGTTGTTTATAAAAGTATTTCAGAAGCCAGTAGAAAAGACACAATCAACTGTCTAGTACCGTGATGACGAACCTATGGCACGCGTGCCACAGGTGTCATGCATAGCCATATCAGTGGGCATGCCAGCTCAGCTCTGGGGTGCATGTGTGTGCCAGCCAGCTGATTTTCGGGTCTTCTGGGCCCACCAGAAGTAGGGAAACAAGCTGTTTCCTGCTTCTGGAGGGGCTGGGGGTGGGGAAGGCCCATTTTTCTTTCTTACCTGGCTCCAAATCCTCTCTATGCATCTGCGGAGGGCAAAAACAGCCTTTCCCACTCCCTCGAAGGCCTGAAAGGGCCCATTTCCCAAATCCCGGTATTGTCCCCAGCCTCCAGAGACTCCTAGAGAGGCTCTGGAGACTAGGGACAGCAAAAAACGTCACTTCCTGTCCCACCAGGAGTTGGAAAATAGGCCCTTTCAGGCCTCTGAGGGAGTGGGAAAGGCTGTTTTCGCCCTTCCCAGGTGCATAGAGAGGGTCTGGAGCCAGGTAAGAAAGAAAAATGGGCCTACCACGCCATTGCATGCCAGGAGCGGGAGGGGGGGTTGTGCGCGCATGCGCAGGGCACGGTGCATAGAATTATGGGTGTGGGCACGCACACGCGCGAACCTCCCCCACCCACCCCCTCTCCTGGCACACGATGGCAAAAAGGTTAGCCATCACTGGTCTAGTATGATGTGACTTAAATTTTTGAAGGCTTGCCATTTGAATTAATGCAGTTTAAGCATCTGCATTATATATGAAGAATCTTATATATGAATAAAGGAATCTGTTTCTGTTGTAATGTATACCTGTATGTAGCCAACAGTCATTGAATGCAAATATTACACTTGCTCAAAACTATTGAATTACAAACTTTTCTTAGCACTGAAGTGCCTTTGACTAAATTCTAAAAACTAAATATATTTTTTCAGTTCAAATAATCTATTAAGAAAAAAATCAATTGTTATACTGGAAAACTAGAAATATTACAAAATATCAAATAAGATATTTGAAATCAACATTTTTCAAGCGAATGGAATGGAATGGAATAGAATAGAATAAAATAGAATAGAATAGAATAGAATAGAATAGAATAGAATAGAATAGAATAGAATAGAATAGAATAGAATAGAATAGAATAACAGAGTTGGAAGGGACCTTGGAGGTCTTCTAGTCCAACCCCCTGCATAGGCAGGAAACCCTACACCATTTCAGACAAATGATTATCCAACATCTTCTCAAAAACTTCCAGTGTTAGAGCATTCACAACTTCTGGAGGCATTTTTCATTAATAAGTTAAATTGATGTAAAATTTAAATCAAGTGAAAGTTGTATAAGGGGTTTTGCATTACAATTAAACAGGGTTATAATGGCAATCAGTCAGCATATGATCATAAAATTCCTCTCTTTTTGTACTTTGAGGTTTGATGCTATGAATCACATTGTGTAATTGAAGAAAAATAGAGATGGTTTTTCATTGAACAACATGTGCATGAATATGTAAGTCATTGAATTCACACCCGTATATTCTGTTAGAAAGCACATGTTTAAATCAAACTGTTTTATAGTATATTGAAGAATCAATTATAGAAATGGTTACAGGATTAATTTAATATTTTTATTATAATTAAGACAACACCTATAATCTTGTTAGAAATAGAGCATATTTAATTTTTTTTTTTTTAAAAAACCGTATAAATGATCCTTTTCAGGTAGCAATTACAGTGAAAAATGTGATGTATTCAGTTGGGGTATTATTCTTTGGGAAGTAATTACTCGCAGAAAACCTTTCGATGAGATTGGTGGTCCTGCTTTCCGGATCATGTGGGCAGTTCATAATGGTAAGCTCAAATTTTAAGTGATGAACAAGTGTCTTTGTGGAAAATGCTGCTGAATTTTGCCACTGATTTTCTATATAATAGTCTAGATGTGCTGATGCAAAAAATGACATGTTATATGTTTGCTTGCCTCCTCCGTCTTCAGTACATAACTTTGGTTGGCTAACAGATATATAGGGTTCCCTTAACATCCTGCCCTAATACCTGACGAAACTGACAGGTTTCAGTGGCCTTCTGAAAAGCCACTCTAGACATGTTGATGTAAAATCTGATTAAATTATTATTTGCCTCAGTTTCATAGAAAGCAGAGACTAAAGTTTAATAGAAAAAAAGATGAAATGCAAGCCCCTCTTCTTGCCTCTTGTTATTTTATTTAATACCCCATCTTCCTGCTTTTGTATAGATGGGGGGGGAGCTAAATATAGAAAGGAACACTTTTTAATAGGGATTGGAATGAAACAGAAACTGGCTTTTGTTTTGAGTTTGGGGCAAAACAACCCCATTCAAAGTCTTCCATTGATACATGTCTATGTTGGATCTGCTTTGAAGAGACTAACTGAATATTTTGAGTGTTCATTCCAAGATTACAAAAATAAGTGGGATGGTGTTTGTTATAACTACCATGTGTTCTTCCTTTCTCTCTCAAAAACATTAGAAGGTCCCCAAATGAAAATAGTGAAGTGGTTTGGGGTGGGCTGTTTATTTATTTATTTTTGCTTTTTCTCATCTTACATGCACAGTTAGCCAGTTTTTCTCCTTCATAGACTTTTGTGCCTGTTTGTGCTACTCTTATGGGAATAGCATTAGAATTCATTAATAAAACATACTGTAAATAACAATTTCCCCTTGATTTCAGTTTTAAAAAGGCAATAAAATTTCTTGCTAGACAGCAATGCTAAACCAACCAAAAGCAGGTTTAAATCTCCCCAGGAAAGTACACAAGAGGCCACACAGAATATATACTCTAGCATATAGAAGCATGAGTGGCGTAGGAGGCTAATGCCTCCTACTAAGGCAGCATTTAACATCCAGCTGCCTGCAATTACTGCGAGTTCAATTCTCACCAGGCTCAAGGTCGACTCAGCCTTCCATCCTTTCTAAGGTGGGTAAAATGAGGACCCGGTTTGTGGGGGCAATAAGCTGACTTTGTATAAAATATACAAAAGTATGAAGGCTATTGCTTAACGCATTGTAAGCCACCCTGAGTCTCCGGAAAAGGGCGGCATATAAAAATAAATAAAAATAAAATAAATAAATATACAAACTGAAACCAACAAGCTTTCAAATCTAATACACTAGTCTTTATATTTATATAATATATTCTGAAAATTCAGAGATTAGAACATGAACAGAATACAAACACAGTGCAGTCTTCATAAATACAATTCATTACTTGAAAAAAGTTAACCTTATTAGAAATATTTATGTAATGCACATAATGAATGCATGTAACTTGCCTAAAAACAAAAAAAAAGGTACATCAGATATAAATAAACATATAAAACACTACCCATTAAACCTAAATTCCTCAAAGTCCTTCTGGACTTTGGGCTTGAGGTCGAAAAAAATTAAACTTTGATTTTGGGTTTTGCTGATTAAATAGATTTGTTGTTAGAGAAATGAGTAGTACATATTCCTATGTAAAAGTAAAAAGTTAACGTTATATGTTATTACCTTATTCTTCTGTGCTAAAAAGAGTTGGAATTCAATGCTTTTCTCTCTTTTTTCCTTTTACCCTACACTTTTTCTTCTTCCTTTTTTCCTTTTCCACTTTCCCATTATTTTAATTTTTTTCTTTGTATTTTATATTTCGATAAAAGTTGAGAGGTTCAGAAACCTAAATTCCTCAAAGAAATATTTTTAAAAAGCAGTAAGCCTATATTTCCAGGCATGCTGGCTGTTGAAGTTAGTCTTTATCAGTGCTTATTTTGGGATCAGCCTGACCTACTTCTAATGCATGTGCAGCCTCCCAACTAGTTTACGTAAATTGATGGCTGTGATATAGCAGTGTAGTAATATTTTCTTTTAACCATAAATTTAGACACTGCATTCAGCCCCACCGCTTTATCACTCCTACCAATCTCAGCCAACAATGGCCAAGATGGAGCCTGTCTCTGCTGCTCTATTGGTTAAACTAGAAACACTTTGAGGGGGGAAACAGCACATTCATAGTATTGGCATAGCCTGAGCAGTCTAACTGCCTTCTTTTGAGTATAGGAGAGAACTATTTTTCCTCAAGCTTGGGATAAAATATGGAACACAGGTTCATCTTGCTTCAAGGTTGAAATATTGAAATGTAGTGCTTATATCTGATATAATAATCCTGATATAATAATATAGCCATATTATGCTTATTTTTGTTCTTCATATATGAGAGTAACAGTTTGAAAAAGAATGCATAACAAGTAAAGTATTTCTCCAGACATTATCAGACTCCTACTTTCATTAATTCTAGTTGAACCAGCAATAAGAATTGTAGTCAAACAATGCCTAAAGATTAAGCATTGCAAGCACTGCTAGTTTAGAAGAGGTCTGGCATTTGCTCATTTGAATATGAATTCCAGTTCAAATTTTGTTTGGGAAACTAATCTCTTCTTCATCATGAGTACGTCAATAAAGGGGTAAAATATCTTTTTATGTTCAGGATTATGACAGGTTTTAATGTGTAAAGTGGGCTAGGGAAATAATAGTCTCAGCAAATATTTTATTGTCCTAAGTCTTCAAGGATAGGTTAGTTCAGTCAAATTAGAGCCAAATAATTTCTTTGAAAATGCATATAATTCTTTAAAATGTTACTGTTTATAAACATTGTATATTTTTAATAGGTACGCGGCCACCACTGATAAAAAATTTACCTAAGCCTATTGAGAGCTTAATGACTCGGTGTTGGTCTAAAGATCCTTCACAGAGACCTTCCATGGAGGAAATAGTCAAAATAATGACACATTTGATGCAGGTATAATATTTAAATCTTAAATATTGCTGAAATAGACTGGTTTCTAGAAGGAATGTAAAATAGAATATATGAATTTGATAGAGTGAAGACAAATGTTGGAAGTGAGTAGAATATCTTTCATGGCCTTCAGAAGGACCTAAAATAATAAACCCTCTGAACTTTGCAATGATATTTAACCAGCATTTAGCAAATTTAAAATACATGGCATTAACAAACACATTCCACAAAACAAAACACAATCTAGTGCTTTGTTTCAAAATCAAACTTGTTTTCTTATTCCTGCCCTTTCTTTCTTTCACACAGTTGTAATGAGGAATGCTCTAAAAGTATATTGAAGAAAGGACAGGAAAGTGTTATATGGATTTTTTTTTAACTAAGTGTAGTTATGGTGCTATAGTCCAAAAAATTTGGAGGATACCCAAGGTCTTTACTTATGTTTAACATAAGTGTGGCTTCTTAAAACGCCAGAACAATAAATGATTTTGGTTAGAGAGGCAAATTAACCAGAGATACCCTTGTTCAAATGTAGCTTTTCATTTGTAGAATTAGAAATTTCTAATTCATTATAGCCATACTAGAAGAAGAGTGTATTTTAATTGATACAATAAATATCATTTTTTCAGTGCTATAGATAAAAGAAAAATTGCATTTGATTTAAAAACAAAAGTAATATTTTAGCCCTTTTTGTTAAGTACCTTTTGGTAATTGCTTATCCTGGTTTGGCTTTTCATGTTATAATTATTAAATAATAAATTCATTGACTAAATCACAATTTACAGCATTATCTTGGAAACAAATTGAATTTAGCAGCTTTTAGGTACTTTTCTTAAAAATGGTCTTTGTAATAAAGGAAATTACAAGATTCCAGTAATATATTTTTCTTTCATTGCAGTATTTTCCAGGAGCTGACGAACCTCTACAGTATCCCTGTCAGTATTCTGATGAAGGCCAAAGCAACTCTGCTACTAGTACAGGTAATCAGATTATATGTTTCAGACATCAAACCAGTAGTGAAATCCCCCCCAGTTCTATCCGGCTCGCCGAACCAGTAGCACCGGCGGCTGGAGGCTCCACCCACCCGCAGGGACGTCATTACGTCCCGGATTTTTACGCACGTGCGCTTCCGCTCCCGAACCGGTAGCGAAAGTAAGTGGATTTCACCGCTACATCAAACTCATATTTTAAGTATTTTAAGCCAGGAAAGATAATCTTTTATTCGCAAGGAAACACATTGTTAGAGGGAAGAAGCTTCAGCACTGCAGTGGTGAAGGAAAGGATACCAGATACCAGGGCTGTGGCACAAGTGCACAGAGCTGAGATTTTTCAGCGTTTATCTTTTATGGGTACATTGAGGATATTACCAGTTTTTTAAGAGCACATAATCATAACTTTAACTAAAAATATTTTTAAAAATCATAGGTTCATTTATGGACATGACTTCTACAAACACCAGTAACAAAAGTGATATCAACATAGAAGCAAATGATTTTCAAGGAACTGCTACGAATGATACCATTAAACGTTTGGAAACAAAATTGGCCCAACAGATGAAAAATTCAGCAAAGCAGGTGGTAAGAATGTAGAAATTTGTATTTGAGATCATTTCCTTAGAAGCAAAATGGTGTGATAATCCTTTATTTATAAAGTTATGAACAGGATGGCACCCTCAAATATTTTCCATCCTTGAAATCAGACTGCCAAAATTTTGGTAACTTTCTATCTATTATTGTTATTTGGCCTTAGCCACCCAAAACTTCTTCAGATTCCCACAAAACACAGAAGGAAATCCTAACTTCACTCATTTCAAGAACATTACCAAAACTTTGCTTTATCCATTGTGGTCCTTGTGGCAACAAAAGAACATTTTTTAAAAAAAAAAACCCTGCCACCCTACAAGCAGAAGGTGATTTGCCCCATGTATAAATGATATTAATAATCTTCATGACTTTTTTTAAAGCTTAGAATGAAAAAAGAAAGTATATATTCGCAGAGTTTTTCTGTGATAATAGTAGGTTTGCAAAACGTTGAAAGCTTCCTTACAGGCTTTCTCTTCCTGTGTTGTAAAGTTTATAGGTTTTCATAACACTTTCAGCATTAAAAAATGATAAATAAAAAATTATTGTAAATATGCAACTTTTATTTCTTAAATCAGGGAGAATCCGGCCGTTTGAGTTTACCTCCATCTCGTGGTAGTAGTGTGGAGAGCTTGTCAGAGGTTCGTGGGCGACCACAGTCAGCTCATGTTTCAGGAGAAGGCAAGCGAATGAGTGCTGACATGTCAGAAATTGAAGCAAGAATTGCTGCTTCTGCAGGTAAAGGTATTATTTTTAAACTTCCCAATTGTTTTTAAAGAGCACTTTTGGCATTTTGAGAGCATATTGTGCTCCTGCACAGTAGCTACATTCCATGGCTGTTGCCACAAAAACTTGCCACCCCATCTCACTCTCATCTCTCCAAAACAAAGCAGTCAAACTAAAAAGAGATTAAGTTGTTGCAAAATTGAAATATGAATTGCAAACCAGATAACTTTTTTTTAAGATTGCAGCATTCTCCTTTAAATGCCAGTTTCACAGAAGCAATGTGATGAGAGCCAGAGACCAGAAATTTGATGTGGGAAAAGAACAGAGTTTAAGGCAAATATTGGGGTAACATTCCAAAATGCCAAATCTCATCTTTGCCCCATCAGAAATAAGCAAAATCAAAATGCTTGAAGAAAGACAACGGACAAAATACATGAAGTATATTTGAAAATAATGATGGTACTGGAGGCCTATATTCTGTAATGTAATAGGTTTTAAAGAACTTGTCCATGGACATCCTGCTGCTTGCAAACACCACATTATAATTTCCATCAGCTTCTAAGATTTAGATAAGAGCTAAAATAAGGAAAATCATACACAATTCTCTGCAAGTCAAGTTTTAGATTGCATTTTATGTTAATCCCTTCCCAAATGTTACAAAACATTAAGACCTTTGTGTGAACAAGGGTAAGCACATTGCCCTATAATACTTCCAGACATTGTCATCCTCCAATATAAACACTGACTTTTTCAATGGAGACCTTTTTCTTTCCATGAAGCTTCTCTGTGTGAATTTCATCTCTTGATTTGATAATGCTCAACAGTTTAAGAATATCCCATAAGCCTTTGGCACAAAGGAGGGAAGGAGATGCATTCTACACAAGAAGCAAGGAAGCCACTGAAATTTTCTATTTTTTGCATCAATAGGATATTTGTACTGAACCAGGCATCTTCCACACTCCTCCTGTCCCTGAGTAGTAGATTATGGTTTTTGTATAACATTTTTAATTTTGCAAATAATTGTTCATATTTCACTATTATTTGTTGATTAATTGACTGACCAAATTTAATGGATTGCCCACGTTACAAGAAGTGACTCTAGGCAGGGTACCTTTATGAGATAATTTTATCAATTGCTTTTGATTTAAGAGCTATGTATTCCTAGTGTTAATTTATTACAGCATAAACACGACTTAATTTGATGGCTATAATGTTAATAAGGCTCAAAATTACAGGCTACAATATGAATAACAAAAATCAAAATTAATTTATAATAATAGTCTATCAATCTGTGTGGTGTATTTCAAATGCTAGACAATGTTCAAAATCCATTAACATGCCCTGAATAAGCAATCATTTCTTTTTATGAAGTAATCTTTCTCTTTTTATGTCTAATGAACTATTGGCCAAACTTTCTAGAAGTTAATTAAATCTCTATCCCAGAGATTTAGTCTTTTCTTTTTATTCTAAGCATTACAGTAGTGGGTAAATACTTAGAATGTCTTCATACTTCGTTCATGAGCAGTCAGTGATCCTTGTATCAAGTGCATCACTTAATCAAATCCTGCTTGTAATTGATTGAATTGGGCAAGATTAAATGATCCAACTTCCCAAGGCAGCCTGCTGAATGGGAAGAAGAAAATAGAATATTCTGAAGAATGAGAGAACAAGGGGGTAAAAATTAAAGAAAAGCCAACAAAAATTGGTTCTGGACCTGCCCCTTCATCTCATAAGTCCAATTGCATTGCCACGTTTTGTGGGTCCCAGACTATTGTTAAATAACTCAACTACCTTTTACCTGTGTTGTAAAGTCATACACACACACACATTGGAACTGTTTCTGGTTTCTCATTCATTTCACACCAACTTCTGACATCAGTGGGATATATATAGTGAAGATGAGAAGCAGTATTTTAGTGTTAGGATTGGGCAGTTTTGGCAACATAAACAAGTATAATTATCAGGAGAAATTTCCAGATAAAAGGATTTATATTCATATAAATCTGTTAGTAAACAAGTTTCTTGAATACTGCTTATCTAATAAAAAACATGCTCAGATGTGCAAAATAAAACTTATTGTAGCTGGAATATTTTAGGAATAAATTAAATTGTATTAGAAGACCAGTGGAAGAAGCAGATCTCACTTGTGTGCTATTATACAAATTGCTTAGAGTAAAGCAACACACCTTAAATCTGTAACTGCAAGATACAAAATTTGTTATTCAAATCCATTCTGCCAGTTCAACAATCTTGCCCAGAAAAGAGTGTCCTTAGTAGGTCATGTTAGGACTTCCTTAGGAGATGTTATTATCAGTTGCCATATTGATAGCATTTGCCTAATCTATAACAGGTTCTAATTTAATATTTAAACATCACCTCTGTATATCTTTTTATGTTAACTGGTATCATTAACAGCTATATTTAATTCCAGAGTTTACTTCTAGCTAGTATTTGTACTCCTTCCTAAATCTATTAATTATGTGATATTATCCTTAATATTATGGCAATAGCTGATTGTGCCTCTTTCACAAGAGAAACAGATTACATTTAAAATGTCAAAAATATTGAATCTAATAATTTTCAATTTTTTTCAAAAAAAGTATAGTCAAACTATTTGAGCCATAGTATGTAGCTTACATTTTGTTTTTTGCTTTTTAAAAAAGAAGTTGAGTTATGTTAGTTAACTACATTTATTTTGCATCCCAAATTGTGAAAAGCTATCTATGGATTTAACATACATTTCCAGGGCAATCAGTAAAAAATTCTAGTCGCTCATAGTTAGGGTTTGTTGTTGTTTCCTTGTTACTCTTTCTACTCTGTTCATTTGAATTTTGTGTCTCTAACTATAACTAATGATGTATTTTGTTATATTGTTGATCCTAGTTATGAATGTTGCTCTTAACAAATGCTTTACTGTTTTAAGCATGAATGGAAAGCTATGCAGTTCAGTCTGCATGTCCTTTGTTTGCATGTGTTTAACCAAATTAAATTTATAAAAGAGTAGTTCTAGTCCGAATGATTTTGTGTTACCATTATAGTCGTTTTGCATGTGTATTGTATGTGTATATATGTTTTTTCAGCCTTTTCCAAACCTAAACGAGGCCATCGTAAAACTGCTTCATTTGGCAACATTCTGGATGTCCCAGAGATCATCAAACCAGGTATTGCATGCCAGCTGTGTGAATCTATTGACACAGATGCTGGAGTAATGACTAAACCTTTAAATACTTTTTGCTCCTGTTCATGGGTGATTGATTACTTACTGGCCAAAAATAATTGAGGAAAGATTTTTTTTATCACATGTTTATCTTTCATATTAATGAACAAATATGTAGCAAGATTGGTTTGTTTGTTTTTTTTTCTCAATGTAAGAAGATCTCGTCAGCATCTTTTTTCCCCCTCTGGTATTGTGATCAGGCTGGAGGTCCAGAGAGCTTTGAAAATAAAGGATTATTTAGAGTGACTTGGGGGTCATATGGAGTGTACACAGAGATAGTGAACATGCTTGTCAGTGGCCTCTGGTAGAACAGTTGCAGCCCTGACGATCACATGATCACCATTTGCAACTTTCCTTGGTGGTTTCCTCAGAAAGTCAATGTGCCACTTGTACACCCTACCTAGCCCTCACCATGCCTTCTGCATACCTGATTTATGTCTGTTGCATAATTCCTGGTACCTCTTGCATCTGACCCACATCACATCTCATGTGTTCTCCCTAAACCACAATTCATCTCTCATGCATCCCTTGCACACTCTTTCCAACCCATGCCAAATCTCTCACACAGCTCCTTGGACCTCTCTGACCTACCCTGCACTCCCACAAACACCCTCCCTCTCCCAGCAATGCCACTTCGGACTTGCGACTTCCTTCCAGCTTCCCCACCAACATTGGTCATGGGAAGCCGGCAGGACGTCGACTCACCTAATGACCATGGGATTAGCTTCATGATGGCAACTGAGACTGCAGGGAGTACCATTGCAAAGTAACGAGGTCACCCCTTATGGTTACATCACTTAGCAGCAGAATTTCACAATTGCCATCATAAGTCAAGGATTACTTATACATATTAAAGTTGTGTGTTTTTAGCAGGTTCAGTTATTCAGTATTTTATGTATATCATCCATAATCAGAAGCAAATTTTTGTGGGAGAGAAAACTTAAGGAACAGTTTCCAACAGTATAGGAATTTCATTTTAGAAAAGAGGCTCCAAAATCCTGATGTGTTTTATTTATTTATTTATTAAAAGTATATGCTACCCATCTGAATATGTCAATCTTGAAACATTAATCCAGTATATTTCATACAGTATTCTTACCCCAATATTGTACAATCAACTGGACTTGAAATATTTCTTTTTTACCATAGTCATCTTGGGTGTATTAATACCATTGTTTTAAATTCCATATGTAAACATTAAAATAAAAAATCACTTTCAAAATTAGAGCAATGTTGTAATTGAAACTCTACAGTATAGAAAGTTGTGCTTTTAAAGTCGGATTCCTCAACAATTACTATTGATTCAGGAGCAACAAGTATTTACTGTATAGATATTCTGTTTGTTTGGCTGTGTTTGAGCTGTTTGCCAAAAGCCTGTAATAGGTAGCAGAAATGAAAATGCTTTAGCCTAACCACCTGCTTCAGTTCATTCTGTTGGTTTGAGTTTGTCCTTTAAAGCAGTTCAGTCTGCACTTAGCACAACTTCCCTGAATGAAAATATATGTTTCCATTTATAATTCTATTTTAATCTGACTATTATTAATATTATTTGTGAGCATGATAAGTGTTTCTGCAATTCCTATTTTAGATTCTCTAAATTCAAAAATGTTATTAATCCAAGCTCAGTTTGAATATTCCAGCTACTTTTTACAAATTTATTTCAGATGAGCTATTTCTAGAAAGAGTGAATGTGGGCATCATTATTATATTAGTAATGGACAAGTCATCTTGAGGTTTTTCCTGAATTGCTAGGTTCTGTAAATCTGATTAAATCACCTTGAGGCCCATGCTGAATTGCTCAGACTGCAGAGCATTTGCATAGCTCTGCTAATGTTCTACTGCTTTAATAAAAAAATGTTTTATGTATCAAAAAGTATAATATTTGGGGGAGAGGGGTTGATTTAGTTGCCGGAAAATGTGAGTACATGTCTTTCTTTATAGTTCTTCATACTTTCCAGAAGTTTAAATTTTGAACCCATATGCAAATTTCCCCATATAGCCAGTAATATGCATTGCTTTAGCATTTTGGTGGAAAAGTAATACACAATTTTAATCTATCAAGCATAAACCTAATGTAAAGTCTCGTAAGGGTTGGAAAGCCCTGAGCTTTTGTACTTATTTTATGTATCTTGTCCAGTCAAAATCTTTTGCGGAAAATGTGTAAAAGGCTGCTCATACCCACAACTAGGGGACCAAAAAAAATCCTTTATCTCCAAATTTTCTTCAGTGTTCTCCAAAACAAACTGACGGCATCTGACTCAACACAGCACCTTAAATACTTTGTAGCCTGCATTTGAAAAAGTAATTTGATTCAATCCCCTCCAATTCATACTTTCAAAGTTCTGCACAGGTTAAACTGAATGAGCCGAGGTGGTGCAGTGGTTAGAGTGCAGTACTGCAGCTACTTCAGCTGACTGCTAGTTCAGCAGATCAAATCTCACCGGCTCAAGGTTTACTCAGCCTTCCATCCTTCCGAGGTGGGTAAAATGAGGACCCAGATTGTTGGGGGCAATATGCTATTTAGTATACTGTATTTGGTATAAGCCGGCCAGAGTCCTCGGAGAGTGGGTGGCATAGAAATATGAGAGAGAGAGAGAGAGAGAGAGAGAGAGAAAGAGAGAGAGAGAGAGAGAGAAATTGATTGCTTATAGGAGTAGGAGATGTGCCCCTTCCATCAATATTTTCCCACCCATCTTGTCCTTCTGGTAGCTCTTCAGTACCATATCCTGGATAGGGAATGTGGTGACCCAGAAGGTTAAAACACTGGGCTGATGATCAGCAGCCTCATGTTCAAGATTGGTTGCTGCTCTGGGGCGGGGTGAGCTCCTGTCATATACACCAGCTCCTGCCAACCCAGGAGTTCAAAAGTGGGCAACTGCAAGTAGATAAATGAATGCCACTTTGGTGGGCAATTTCATGGGGATGTGAAAGGAGCCCTCAATTATTCATCCCTCAGGGCAATGGTGATGTCATCAGCAAATCCTTTCACCATGGAAGTACTTTGGTGCTTCTAATACGGAAGTATTTGTATTAGTAGTACCCTAAAATTACATGATTTAAGAGTATTCCCATCTTGAATTAATTCTTCATATAACAGGAACAAAGCTTCATCTTGACCTTGGAGGATTTTCGAGAGGGCAGAGAGATAGGAGGATAAGAAAGGAACAAATTTACTTTTCCATTCTTGCATCTATTGGACACATTCTAAAATATTAAGCAAGATATTGTTTATTAAAAAAAGATATTTAATTGTTTACGGTACTCAAGCTTCCATTCCCTTCATCTCATTTAATGTTTTATTTGAATTTTAAAAAATACCTACACAGATATATTTATAGGTGAGTTTAAAAAGTAAGCCCTTAATACATTTGTAAAATGTTTTTACATATTTTAGAAGTTAGAATATTTTAAAAATATTTTTCAGTAAAGTAAAAGGAAGTTGTACATTGTGAAAAGCTGTATGAGGAACATTGGGAAATCATGCAAATGATAGCCATAATTGAATTCCTTGCTAGAATAGTTGCTACTGGTCTGTTCATGTAACACAGTCTTCAAAGACTAAGTTTCTAGAGAGTTATGTCAGCTGTTAATTGCAACTTTGGGATGTTTTCTTTTTGGACAGCTGATATAACATCCCAAGAACAAAGACCATTATAATACCAAAAGGCAGAGAAAATTTTTCTTTGCCTTGTCAGTCATCATATTTTTTTTAATGGATCTGTTGACAATTTTTTTTAATACATTTGGTAATATTCAGAGCTGTGACTAAAAGCAAGTTAGCTTTTTAAAACTTTAGTGCAGATTTGAAGAGCTATTTCTTTCTGCATTGGATCCAATCAGTGCAATGGATTCTTTCTCAAATAAGAAATCTAGGAACACCACTAGTTGAACAGAAATCAAGTTGACATCTCGTAAACCATTTTTGAAGCTGCATTTTTTCATTGATTAACCAAAGAAACTATATAACTGGCAACCTCACATGAGAAATCCCCATAACGTAACCTCCTTGAAATAGATGTCATCATCAGTGCCAAAGCCACCCCCACACTTGCCCATCTAACACTTAAGCCTATTAAAGCACAACTGACAGAAGATGGTGAAGAAAAGCGCAGAAGTTATTCATGGGACATGAGGATTTATTGCCTTAGGATATGCTTTCTGTTGACAAGCTGGGTGGGTAGGTGTGGCAGCTGTCTCTGCTCTCCCCTCTCCTTCCTATATACAAACAGACTCTTTATCTCCTTGCTGGATTTGTACACACTCTTGCAACATTCTTACTTGATGTAAATTCAGTAGTTTCTTTTTCCTTCTCATCCTAGCAGGCAACGGACAACAGAGGCGCAGATCCGTTCAAGATCTTAGTGTAGCTGGAACAGATTCCAACCAGGTAAATGCACAATGTGGACAATTCATTTAAAATTGCCTGAATTTTATAAATTTAAGAAATGTATGTCACCTATCAAATTGAATATCTAAAAATTGGAATATATAAATATATCTAAGAAGAACTAGGATTGGGAATACATAATGTAAATTATGAAAGCTTTTTTCCTTTCCATTTAACAAAAAGAGTATGCAACCATTTTTCTTTCAGCTTGGCCTTTACCAAGCTTATAATTCTGTTAATAATCCATTGAAAGATATACAAGAGTTAGTTCTAGGTAAATTATATTTAAAAGACTACATGATTTTCATATTGGAAATCCCAGATATGGTTATCAAACTGTTGTGGACTATGTATTTCTTGGATTCAGTAAAGTTTTGATCTTTCTCTCTTGGAAATATATGCAAATGTGTTCAGTGAGGCTTGTGTCAAATAAGGATGCTTAGAACTACAACTTTGATTAATTTAACAGTTGTGTTTCTTTACTGCTAAATACTAAGCATTGATGTATATTGAAAGTGTTACTAGGACTTAGTGGTTAAGGAAAATAAATAAGCTAAAATGTTACAAAATTCTATTTCTTACATGAATGTGTACAGATACAGAGTATCTCATTTGTATTAGTTGATGGTTGAAAGTGAAAGCACTGAAGGAAGAAGAGTAAAACCGCTATTATAGACAGTTCATTTTTATATAGAACTTACGCTTTCGGTAACATTTTTAAATGGTAATTTTTAGAATGTGAATGCAGGGTTTATATGCAGTTATATGTGGATATGACTTTGTAATTTCATGATGAGTAGGGATTAAATTTGAGATAGGAGAGTGTCTGTGTACATATATTTACACTCAAAATCCTGATATCTTGATTTAGCAAATCAAGAATAATAAAAGTTGCAGTAGAAATCAGATTCAGCATATAAATTTAAAAACGGCTCTGTAAGCCTTCAAAACAATGTGGCTACTTTAGTGCTTCAGAGGAAAAAAAGTTTTGTTTATGCCCATACATGGTGCAAAGTATCTTTTTCAGGTTTGTTTGCCAGCCTGTTATATTTATTAAGAAAGTAGCCCTTAGATTAATCAAAATCTATTTTAGTTTAGAATGACTGTGGCTGGTGACATAATCAACCAAAAAAAAAAACCCCATACTTCCAGTGGCAACAATTCAGATGGCAAAAAAAAGAGTGTTTCAGATAAAAAGTCGAGCCACTCCGAATGCCTGACTTGCAGAGTTCACCATACTGTTGGGTAAATCATCCCATGACATGTTGCCTTCCCTGCTATATCATGTTCATTTCAGTGCTTATTACACACTTTTTTCTCAAAGTCTTGTTCCTTTTATTTATGCAGTGTTAAACAGGTGTCAAGACTTAGGGCCAAACTAAACATGATAATAATCTTTCTTTAATGAGTTAATGCTGGGAGGCAGGTCCACCCCTTGGTGCTCCTCCCACACTCATGGTCATTGTTTTAAGAAGCAAGTGGAAGCCATGGCTAGGAGGGCTTTTGCTCAGTTTCAGCTGGTGCACTATCATTGCTGTACCTGTGTTACCTGCCCTCATCATCATTTTTCTATAGACTACTATATTTTTTTAAAAAAATGAGAAGCTTGATTTGGTGCAAAATACAGTGGCACAGGTGCTCATGGCAGTCACTGCTAAGAGTATGTGACACCAGTATTACAGGCCCTGCACTACTTGCCTATTAGTTTCCAAGACTGATTTTAACTTCTGATGCTAATCTATAAAAGCCCTTATTGCCTAGCTTGTAGGTTATTTACAAGACTGTATCTCCCCATTGGAATCAGACCAATGTCTATGATCAGGAAAGGCAGCTTGTTGTCCTGCATTATCAGGAGACTGGGGGGGGGGGAAGGGGGGGGGATTAGCACCATTTTTTTGAAATGGCTTCCCACTTCAGATAGCCCCAATCTTCATTGCCTACTGGAGGAAGCTAAAGTGTTGTGACCTGTCAGCCACCGGCCTCTCCAGCAGCCACATCAGAGGAGGAGGCGTGGGAGTCAGGGTCAGCATCAAGGCAACCTGAGAGCTCCGAGGGGGAAGAGGGAGTGGAGCTGGCAGAGAGAGAGAGAGAGAGAGCCGAAACCTGGGCCGTCCCTCAGTCCTCAGATGGAGAGTCAACAGCCCCCAGGTCTGGAGGTGGCTGATGAGGAAGAAGAGAAACAGCCGAGTCCAGTGCCTGACGCATGGATGTGCAGAAGGCAGAGGAGAGAAGAGCGGTGGAAATCCGTGGGCCAGTCCTTGGGAAGGAAGAGCCACTGCTGTTAGCGAAGCCCCACCCTAGCTCTGGGGATAAAAGGCAGGGGGTGGAAATGAATAGATGTGGCAGACAACTATTCAGCTTCCGGCCAGATGGACTTGTTAGCCTGCGATGAGAGAGAAACTTTTTGCCAGGGCTGCCATCACTCCTAATTAAAGGAATCTTTGAGTTCACTTCAGAGGGTTTGTTGGGTTTGGGGAGCTGGATCAAAACATAAAGACTGAGCTGTTCTATAGGCCCAGATGAATAGGAAGTCTATATTTTTTATCTGTTTTCAGTTACTTTTCATATTTTGTTACTATGTCCATTATTTCTAAGCTTCCAAGAGTCTGATTAAAATGCAACAAGGTGACAGTCTAATAAATAATGAATATATACTCAGTGGCAGTGCTATTTAGAACATGCTGCTTTTGAAGCTGGTATACAGCCATCAAGACTAATAGTCCTTAGCAACAGCAGTCGCACTTAGACTTATATACCGCTTCATAGAGCTTTACAGCCCTCTCTGAGCGGTTTACACAGTCAGCATATTGCTCCCAACAATCTGGCTCTTCATTTTACTGACCTTGGAAAGATGGAAGGCTGAGTCAACCTTGAGCCAATGAGAATTTAACTCTGGCAGTTTGCAGTGGTATTCTAACCACTGCAGCTCTTTCATGAATTTTTCTAGTCTCTTTCAAAACTAGTAGCCATCAACATACCTGATGGGAGCAAGTTCAAAAAGTTCAGCATTTTTTAAAAGTTGTTCCATGTATTGGTCCTGAATCTCCCTACATTTAATTTCCATGAATAAACATATTTTTAGGAGTCAGATAGAGAGAAAAATTTCTATTTACTTCTTATCCTTATTTGATTTTATGCACTGTGCACCCTCTGGCCCAATTTCCTTATAAACTACAAAGCACCAGACTATAATAAACTTCCTGAATTGGTTTTCTCTTCCCCCATTTTGGTACTATGCAACAAAGCATAGCTATACTACGCAGAAGTTCTAATAGACGGTCACTAAAATGTCTGCATTGCTAAGTCACTTTCCCACCGTGTCCAATTTGAGGAGCTTCTAGTCTTCCTAGGGGGGTTGTAGCCCCCCTGGATCGACCAGTATGTGCTCCTCTTGTTGGTTGTCTCTGCAGGACAACTTAGATCACAAAGGACCCTCGGACATCGGGGATATCGATTACTCTTTAGGAGCCCCTCTAAAGAGTGCGTCGTGCCACTGTTTTGGCCACGCCCACTCTCTTGGACCACAGTTTGGTTTTGCTTTTAGGTGAGGTAAAGATAGCAAAATCTTTGTGTGATTAATTAATCCACAGAAGAACTTTGTATTTACAGTATTGTCATTTGTTTGCGTTAATAGTAAGAGTTTGTTTATTTATAATTATTGCTACAGAATAGCAGAAACAGCAGTAGATCATCTAGTCCTAGTGTGAGAATGATCACTACCTCGGGACCAACCTCAGAAAAGCCTGCTCGTAATCTACCATGGACCCCTGATGATTCTGCAGGTAAAACAATCCCTGACCCTATGGTTGTTTATCATTTAATGCTTTAAGGAGTATTGGTAATTAACATGGTAATGTATATTAACCCGGCCTGAAAAATTACAATTTTAGATTATAACTCTAAAGTTGTTGATAAACATTGCTGAACATCTGTCATAGGGTAAATTAGGGTAAATGAGGATATTGCTATAGCCGCACCATCTTTGTTTGGTTCTTGTATGCTTCACACCCCTGTAAACAGAGTGCAAAAAGTAATGACAAGTGCCATCATGTACTATTTAAAAGTTCCATTGTTACTCATAGTCATGAAGAAAGATAAGGCAGATGCTGACCTGCTCTTTTACAAATGGTGCTGCATCATGAAAGGGTATTTTAAGAGAACCTGCAAAGTTATCTCCCAAATTTTGAAGTTAGGTGTTTACTTTTTGTTACAAAATATATTTGGTAAACTACATTGCATTCAAAAAGTCTTCACTTTTGTCAATTTTGTTATGCTACAGCCTGATTCTACAGTCGTTGAAATTCATTTTTTTTCTCTCATTAATGTACAAGTGTTGTTGCAAAGGGTCTGAATACTTATGCCAATGTGATATTTCAGTTTTTTATTTTTAATAAACTTATATTTCTAAAATTCTGTTTTCTCTTTGTCATTATGGGGTACTGAGTATAGATTAATGAGAAAAAAATGAATTTCAACAACTGCAGAATCAGGCTGCAGCATAACAAAATCGACAAAAGTGAAGGGGGTCTGAATACTTTCTGAATCCGCACTATTTTAACAAAAGATAAGCAAAAACATTGATGTATGAATTAGAATAATTGTATATATTTTCATTTAAGGCAGACTAGAAAGCAGTGTTCATGCAAAGTTCATGAATTTTTCTCCATTGACAGACATAAAATCTAGTATTAGAAGTTATTGTTTTATATTCTGTCTTGTGATATAAATATTTATATTGAGTACAATGAAACAAATTACATCTAAGCTATTTCAAGTAACAAAATAGTTTCAAGAATGACTCTTAATAAAAATTGACCAACACAGAACAATAGAAGACTGGTGTTAATTAACATCATGAAGACCAATCATTGGGTAATTAATAAGTTTCAGAAAAATGAATCATGACATATATTTTGCTGTTTAATGATTTAAACTTAGACAAACATTCCTAGCCCAAAAGCACACCATTGGGATTTGTGGAAAGAATCATTTTATTGTGGGCTTTGGACTTCAAAACATAAACGAAGGTCAAGCACCTTTTCGGAATTAGGAGGTGCAATTTCTTGTTCGTTCATATGTCCCTTTGAAGCAGTATGGGAGCAATGAGTTTCCCACTTAGCATATAAGCAACACAGAAACCAAAAAAATAGAATCCTGAAAAATATACAGGTTGATAGTCAAACATCCTTTTCTTTTTTAAAAAAAATAATCAGATTTGCCCCCATAAATATCTTTAAGATAAATGCTTGTTAAACAGCTTTGAGAAACAGGATGCAATTGCTGAAAACATCTGATGAGCTTATGAAAATTTCAGATTTAGCCTTGCTTTTATTCTTTCCTGAAGAAACTTGCATTACTTAGCAACATATACAGTACATATACAACATACAGCCCTGCAGCTGAAAAAAATGATTTTTTTTTGTTCAAAAAATAATTTAGTTTCACAATATCAAATCCAAAAGCCATATGTTGCATGTTCAAAAGATACTTTAGCACCGAACAGAAACTCATTTGAACATATGTATAATGGAATGAAATTAATGTATTATGCCCATTAGCAGGATGCATGTTTTTACTGTATATGTTTAAAATAAAATATATCTTACATTGGGTATAGATAAAAGTGAAAACCAATGTTTAATACCTTATATTTCCCCTTTAGCTATCTTCTTCAGTTACCATTCTAGCTCTTTATTTTTCTACCATAGCAAATTCTTCATGGTAACTAGAACTATATTGTGCATCTAGTGAACTGTCATTGGTATAATAAAAATTAACATAGTATATTAACATAGTACATTCAATATTGCCGCACTTCAGCTATCATATTGTTTTACGTGATTATAGTAGTTTAGTTACTAATTAGCACAAGTACTTATGGTAGACCTGTGAATGTATCATTATACAATAAGAGGACAAGTAGATGTGCCTAGCATGTTTTTAAACACTACAATTCAGACTATCTGTATTTTTCCAACAGATACCAATGGGTCTGATAACTCCATCCCAATGGCATATCTTACATTAGATCATCAGTTGCAGGTAAATTACTATGTTATTTCATTGTCGAATTCCCTTGGATAGTTATATTAATTTGTATGTGTAATGCAATCCTGATGTGAGGTCATCACAGTTTTTTAAAAGTAATAATAATAGAGTGCATACTTTTAATTAGTTTGCTTGGCACAGAAGCTAACTATTGACAATGTGATTCCTGTGTTAAGTCAGAATTAGTGATCTGATAGAATGAGTTGCAGTTTTAATTTAACACCTCCCAAGATCAGGTTGCAACATGCCAGCATTGCCACAGTGCATCTCATACTCCGAACTCAATACTTAACACAGTTCACTGGAATCTGTATGGTGCTCCATTCCAGGGAAAGAACAGGAAACCTGTGGTGAGAGCTGCCCATTTAAAATGCATTTCTTCAAGAATGACAAGTTCAAAAGGAAAGGTTTTGTCTAGCTACTTTTGAACTTTTTGCTAGAAACCAAATGAAATGCTATATTAATTTGGGGATTTGACAGTTAGAACTGCTTATGATTGTAGAAATACTTTTTAATATTGAATTTTTATATTTACAACTATTGAAAAAGTTATTTTTCTATTTTTTCATTATTCATTTGCATCTTCACCTCCCCTATTTTCTTTTTAATTCTTTTTTCTTGTTTTTATATTGTTTTTTATATTTTATATTTATATGCAGAAAGGTTCAGACAGTATCATGTTTGTCTACCATTACATATTATATAGATCATTTGATACTCTTTGCCTGGGACAGATATTCTTTCATTAATAAAGAAATACCTTTATTTTGCTTGCATTTCTGGCAACAAGATATTGTCAGGGTTCCAAGTAACACCCCCAACAAAAGAAGAATCCGAGGCTAGATGTTCCTCAAAGTTCCATTTTATTAGAGATGTCATATTGGCACATCTGGGAAAAGCCAAATCTGAAAGCTTCCAGGTTTTCCCCACCCAAAAGAAAGTCCAAGACCCTGCTCCAGCACCCACATGTCCATCAAATGGTCCAATCAATGCACCATCCCAACTGGAGATGCCTCCCAGACACGCCACTCCAGATGCAGGCCTGAATGTCCTTGACTCTCAGAGAAAAGAATGTTATGGCTAGATATCTCCCCAACTCCATACGATCCCCCCCCTCCCAGTTTCCCACAGCACTAAATGTGGCAGCCCTGAAGATCCAAAGTAAAAGATGGCTTCCAGGGCTGACAGATATATTATGGACAAAGTTTAATTCTCAAGCTTCCAAAAGTTGGAATAATTTATTAAAAACATATTTACATGTATGTTCATATTAACAGTTGATTTGGTTTTTAATCTGTATGTTTGATTTTATTTTCAGCCTCTAGCACCATGTCCAAACTCAAAAGAATCTATGGCTGTGTTTGAACAGCACTGTAAAATGGCCCAAGAATATATGAAAGTTCAAACAGAAATTGCCTTATTGCTGCAAAGAAAGTAAGTTTTAAAATATATTCAATTGTGTTGGTAATTTCATTCATAAATTTGACAAAACACAACATTTTCATTTCATGGTGAGCAAGATGTATCCCCACTAATCTGAAGGTGCCAGGTTCAGGAAGGCCAATCTTATGTTTGAAATTCTGTTTCCAGACTCATAATGAACCCTTGTTTCCAAAATAGAAAATTTGTTTTACTATTTTCATAACATTTTCCTCAGTTCTCTTCACTCTCTTTCAACCATCAGTCTTAGGCAAAGTACATTACATTAATGTATGACTGATGGGAGCAGAAGTACTTTTAACTCTTAGTGTAGTGAAAAAAGAGTTCAGCATTCAAATTGCTTGCCAGTATTTCCTGTTTTTATAAGTAGGTTCCCCAAAATACATGGCTTAAGTGGACTGTGTACAAGGTGTCTTGGAGTCCTAGAGAAAACTGAAATAATTCAACACAGTTCTACTAGAAATATTTAGTAATCTAAAATAGAGAGTTAAAGTGTTTTGAATGCTTACCTCATCTATTAAATGAAGGGACACTCATGAGGGGAGAAATCAACATGACTCTTACTTTTGCTATTTTAGCAACTATTCATCTCACCATAGAACATAAGCTATTGTAGGAATGGCATAAAAATGACAAAACCTGAATGTGTACCAAAATAATTCGATATAGATAGTTAGGTGTCCTTTTTAGCAGTTTTGTGAAAACATAGAAAAGTGTTGAAGGCTGTCACAAATTTTTCACTGATATAATAGGAAAAATATTTTCTATTTTATTAAGTATTTCATGTCATTACGTAAAATGAATCTTTCCATTTATCTCAAGATAATGTTACTTCCAGTAATACTTTCATCATGTTATGATTTCCCATGTTTCTCTGTCAAGCATAATTTCACTGAGGCAGTTATTCCTTTACCCTATCTTTCTCCACACAATGGGCTCAGATAGGAGGAGGGAGATATGCATACATTCACACAGACAAACACAGAGATACAACACCCCCCCCCCCAATTAAACATAAAGCTACATACTAAAAGGATACTAGGAGATTGCAACAAGGATGGGTATCTTTCCTCTTTTATTGTCAAATATTTTGCATTATGCATAGATTACTGCACACATAGATTACATACACACAGAAAAAAATATGTGTGAATATGTTATGTTGCATAGCAGTCTGTTGTATTCCAGTTACTCCTGACTATAGTTCCTACAGTGCTTGTCATTGGGTTGGCTAAAAATGACAGATGTTAAAAATTTAGAGGGCATTCAGATACATAAATATGTAGGCAAAAATAGGTATTTGCACCTTAATAGGTCTGTGATCCAGCCTGTATATCACACATCTAGTGTCTTTTTTTCTGGCAAATAATTAATCAACTTATTGAATTTAGCTACCAATGAATTTGCCAATGAATATTTGTTAATATTGTGAATTAATTAAGTAACCTTCTTATTTAATATAGGCAAGAACTAATAGCAGAACTGGACCAGGATGAAAAAGACCAGCAAAATACATCACGTCTAGTACAAGAGCATAAAAAGCTTTTAGATGAAAATAAAAGTCTCTCCACCTACTACCAGCAATGCAAAAAACAGTTAGAGGTCATCCGAAATCAACAACAGAAACGTCAAGGGACATCATGATTCATGGGACCCCAGATTGACAGTGAAGCACAGGAACTTCTTCTTTTTTTTAAAATTATCCCATAATAATATGACAACTTCCTTATTGGTGTGTGCTGAATGTGTAGATATACCTGCTGCTCTTCCAAAACCAATGCAGTATGGTTTTCTTTGGGTGAACATTGAGTTGTTTGAGAAAGTTAAGAGCGGCTACATGAATAATCAACAGCACTAACCATGAAGCAAAATATAATGAACTCTGGCTGTTTGCATGCCCCTTGTGTGATGGCTATTCTACCAAAACTGATTAAGTGGCTGCTATATTGTAAGATCATTAGGTTTTCATGCAATAGGAGCAGTATAGAATTTTTCTATTTTTAAAATGTTTTTGTTCTTCTTTCCTTTTGAACTGTTTGCCAAAGCAGTCATTTTCCAGGGCTCCTGAGTACATCATGTTCAAGAGATAATGCTGGTGAAGCAATGCATTCTTCTAATTGTGTTGTTCTTCATGCATTTGGCTCCTCTATATCAAAGGGATTTCTTAGGCATATCTCTTCTTAAATATTCTGATGCAGTGGGAGAGACATCAAGAGGTAGTCCCTTTCAGGCCCTCCCGGTTCTTTTATATGATCCCTTCCTTGATTTATCATCATGAACAACCTTCCAGACCTCTAGTTAGCGGTTGACAAGAATAGTAGTTTCATCGTCTTATGCTTTAGAAATTAAGTGAATTTGCTTGCAAAATCCAAGCATTTCTGTTCCATCTTTTGGAAGCAATAATTAGAACTTGGTTGAAAAATAACTTGTGTTAACAGCATACATCCTCAATTTAGTAAATTCTCACATTTACCTTCTTTTTTTGTTTCTTTTATAACAAGACCCACAACAAAATGAGGATTTCATATATGACACTGTGCCCCAAATTTCAAAAGTACTGTGGAAAATTACCATAGGAGTTTTGCAAATCAAGTCTTTGAAACAAGTCTAATTAAAAAACCAAATTTATCAAATAATTAAAAATATACCTATCAATCTGTACTTAGAATTGTTTGATAGAAATACATTAAATTTCATCTTCAGATGCCATGGGTAAGCAATTTCTTGTAGCCAGAGATGCCACTTTTCCTTGTTTAAATATTTTTCCCTCCTATATGGGCTGGAAGGAACATGGCAATCATAACACAGGCATAAATGACATTTTTGGCCTGGAATGTTTGTGGGGTGAGGGGGAGGAATATTAGATGGAAAATGTATTAGGTCTAATGAAACCTTAAGTATACTTTTGCTTTTTTTTCATGCCCACCAAAATCTTATAACTAAAATTTTGGCAGCACAATCTGGACTGGGCTTGCCCCTGGTGGAAGTTACAAACTCAAATGTTTACATTGAAAGGTAGCTATGAGTAGCGGGAGCTATATTTTTTGTTCTGTATGAAATATGAAGCCAAGTCCTTCACCTGTTCCTTGCAAATAGGACCTGCATTCAACACAGCCTTTTCTCATGAAGAAAATATATGGTTGTAGCCTCAACATGGCAATACATTTCTTAAGCATTTGGAACAACTTTGGGTATTGAATGACTTGAAACTTTACAGCAGTGATTGCTATTGTTAAACTACCCAAGCGCTCTTTGAAATCTTGGTGTTCAGTTCAGATTTGCATCATATAAAATTGTCCTTTATAGAACAATCTGAAACATTTGATCTGTGTTAGCTATTCTCTCAAAGAATGAAAGAAAACATAAGATATTTCAAATCCACATGTTGACCCTCAAATACTATTTTAATGTAACTTTGGCTTCACAAAACTGTGGTATGCATAGAGTTAGAATGTGACATTCTATTGTCTACTCATCAACAAGTACTGCTATATTTACTAGAGCCCAGTGGTTAGAATGCAGTATTGCAAGCAAACACTGTCCATAGCCTGGAGTTTCATCTTGACGGGGCTCAAGATTGACTCAGCCTTCCATCCTTCCGAGGTTGGTAAAATGAGGACTCAGATTGTTAGGGGCAATATGCTAACATTGTAAACTGCCCAGAGAGTGCTGTAAAGCAGTATGGAGTGGTATATAAGTCTAAGTACTATTGCTATTACTAGGCTCTTTTCCCCCAGTAAGAGTTTGTTCATATAGAATTGAAGCCTTGCTATCTGGCCATGTCTGAACTCAGTAGAGCTGACATAAGAGTAAGTAATTATAGGATTGCAATATTTTCTCTTGTGTGTTTCTTTAAACTGAGAGATTGCTGAAAAACATCAGGGTCTGTGCTTTGAAAACAGTCTTTAAAATAAATTTATTCTTGGCAAGTTATAAGAGGTAAAACCAAAATTATTTTACATAAATGAAGGACAAACATAATTCCTGAAACCCATATTAGCAAATTTGATTTGGTGGCTGAAATAGACATTGCTATCAATTTAAGGGTATGCATATTTATAGTCACTGGCAAGGAGAAAACAAGAATAGGAATAGCAGAAGCTATCTGTAGCACTGCTGTTTACTGCATATATCTCAGGTTAGTCAAATGGATGCAGTTGTGATGCTCTGCTTTTCCAAAGAGAAAACATTAAAGCCTGACCTGTTACATCATAGGCTACAATTACAAGTGAAGATCTGCAATAATCTTGTCTATTGTGTGCTATGTGTTGGGCTATACTCACTATATTGAAAGGAGGAAAACTAGAGTCACAGTTTTGTGGTCCACAAGGAATGACTGCACCATTGGTGAGAAATTATATTCTAGATTTTCAGAAACTGTTATATGCCAGTAGAACAGAATTGGGAGTCTAGAAGACATAAGAAATGGAATGAATGAGGACAAAGGCCGATTTTGCTCTTCTGCCTCTAAGCAAGAACCAGAACTTTGTATCTCCTTCGAAAGCCAAACTAAAGCAAAAATAAAAATAGTATATATTCTTTCATTCATTCTGGGTCTGTAGCCCACTTACATTTGTTTCCAGCTTGGTCACCTAATTCTAAGTAAACGAGTGGAAAACGCTAGTTATAATTCTTGATTTACAAGCTACTATGATAATTCTCCTAAAATAGTCAGCCAAAACAATAACATAAGGGTTCAGAGTTTTGTATGAATCAAGTCAGTTTTTAAGATAGTCACAATTTCTGTATTGTTAATGCTCTCAATGTGGTACACATACAAAAATAAAAAGTATCCTCTTTGCCAAAAGACTATTTGGCTTGAAGATTGCCAGAGCTAATCCTTGAAAGTTTCTACATGGCTAACCTTGTCTGGGTAAGAAACAAAGCGGACTTAACCCTAGTTAACATTTGGATAACCAACAGAAACTTTCATGCCTATAGGATGAATTGGGAAATTGAAAAACAACCAGGAAAAAAATAATTGCAAACCAGCCCTGTATTTCTACCACAAAACCTGCTTGAACAAATCAGTGAAGGAATTGTGCTTGACTCAAAAGAAATTTTGATTTATATTTAAAATGCACTTCAAGGTACAGTTCATTTTTTTTTCAATTTGATCTTGGAGAACGCAAAGATTTTATTTTATGTTTTCTTCCATTTCTTACCTCATATTAGCCCTAAAGAAAGGCTAATAAAGCACATGCCAATAGGAAGTAAGATTAAGCAACCTTTGATTCAGAGAAGGGCAACCCTCACCCCCAGAGATACGTGGTAATCCTCAAGCCTCTTTCTGGAGTGAGAAGTTATCTCAGCTTCAGGCAGGAAGCCTATGCACTAGACTAGAACAATTGTTTATTTTTTATTAAACTTTTTTTCCCTAAATGAGAACATATTCCACTGAAACCAATGTTTTCTCACAGTAAATGGAAAGAGATTTTCACTTCAGCTTTTTAAGTTTCTACATTAATTGCCATGTGACAGAAAACATTAAATATTCTTTGTTCTGAGTGTTTAGAGGTTAACGGTAAAATCTTGAATTCCAGCATTTATTAAGAACCTGAGGAAATCAATTGCTTCAAGAAGTTTGTACTTTATTTGTCTAACAACCTTTTTTTCAATACTTGTACTTTACTTACTTTACTGACTAGAAATGTTTGGAAGTAAGTGCTGCCCCTCCCAAAAAAAGTAAAAAAATTCAAGGGGCATAAAAGAACAAAGAAATGTTATAAAAGGAAGGAAATAATAGTAAACTCTTTTATTACAATAATCATTTAAAATATTAGACGTGATGGAAGAAAGTAGAAAGCAACTGTATCACTTTTAAATTTTTAAGTAAGTGAATGAAAAGTTCTTTGGTTTTAGTTTCAATTTTAAATAAGTCTCATTCACTTACTTATTTCATAATTGTATTTTTTTTAACAATTTTTTTTCACATATTTTGTTTTGAGGAAGGATTTTTTTTTTCTGATGTTAAGGCATTGGTTTTTTAATATAACATAGGGATTCTGAATCCAAGCAGAACCAATGATTCCTTTGTACTGTAATTTGTCTGTGAGCCAATGTTACTTGCCAAGAGTTAATAGCTAGTAGTTATCTGATGAATGGCTGGGATATTTAATGTTCCACAGAGAATACCTTGCAATGGAACTTTTACATATGGTGTAGATTATTTCAGTGAATAGCTTCAGCACTTTGCATATGCAGACCAATATGTCTGTAGATTAAGTGGAAATGCAGTCTCTTATTCTCCCTCTCTCTCTGTCTTTGGCCAATATAAAGCCCCATTGGTGGTTATCAGCAGTGGTGAGAGAAGTCTAAAATATAACATTGGACCAAGTGGATTAGTTAAAAGATAAACATTTCTCTCCCACAACTTTAATGTCCAAAAAGCCTTAAAGAGACCATTTCCAAATGGATTTAGAAATACAAAAAAGAATGAATAAGGAATAATCCACAGTCATAAAAGAAAGCTCCATTCTATTTTGGAGTTTTGTGCATTTCTACCCCCTATGGAAACTGCTTTCATTGTCTATCCCTGCAACTATTTCCCTATTCCCAAAACCCTGCCCTGAATGATGAAGGATCCTCCTGAACAATGAGGTAGAAGGATACACAACGGAGGCTTACTTTGCCTTCAGCTGCCATGATCTGGTCTATTGTCCCCAACAGAGAAGGTGGTTTTGTATTTGCAGAAATATTTTTTGTAAAAACGTGTTTGGCCACATCGTAGTGATTTCAACCAAGAGGACTTTTAATTGAATCCTATGGTGGCTAGAAATGAAAATTCTCAACTGAGAACTTCAAATAAAGATTGTGGAAAGTGAAAATGTTGCTGAAAATGAGTTTCTTAAATCACTGAATGAAGAATCTAAAAAGAATATTGGAACACAAAGCCTATTGCCTTCCTTGCCTATGCACTAATATTCAGAATGTGAGAAGTAAATAAGATGAATTTGAGTTCTTAGCTCAGAAAGACCAAATCAAGTGGTGGGATGCCCACTATGAGTCGAATTGAAGGATATTATGCATTCAAAAGGAACAGGAACAATAGAAAGGGAGAAGTTACACTGCATGTTTAAAATATCCATTCTAGCTCACAAACTAAAATGAGTGAATTAGACATTACTGTAGAATGAATCATCTGGAATATAATCAATGGAGGAAAAATAAAAGCAAAATAATTGTTGCTTTCTACTATTGCCTGTCCAACCAAAGAGAATTACCCGCTAACGCTCCATCCATGTTACCGGCAGGACCACATTCCCTTTTAGATTGCTCAGCAGGAACAAGTCCAAGATGCTGTTGACATCTTGTTGGCATATGATATTCAACTAATCATTATCAGGAGAAGCAGTCTAGACATCATAGCTCATGATAACCTTCAGTTTAAAAGAATTACTCCTTTGTAATCAATGTAGTAGTTGTTCTTTCAACCATTATTCCACTAAGTGTCCATTAAATACCATCTGATGTCTCTACCAAGAATATAATAGGCTTAATATTCAAAATAGCACATTTGCTTACATATAGATGTTCGGTTTCAAAACACCGAAGACGAATAGGGCTTCCAGGATTGAAGGTGGACTTTAACCCAGGTTTCCTCAGTCCTGAGCACCTAGTTCAAAACCTAATTCTTTTTTGACATTAACCATGTTGCTCTCCTATTAGGCTGCTTCCCCTTTGGTAAATCTAAACTGGTATCTTCTAAATGAGTTGAAGCAACATCTCCTGAAGTTTCATCTGAAGCAGAGGAGGACTGTAGGTCCTGGGGTTTGCGGGAGATCACGCAAGTTCATCCGACTCACTTTGAGCAGCAACATAGTTCCCCCCAACTATCTCTGTAGCAACCACAGGAATGACAGAGAAGATAGCAGTTATAGCACCAAGTCCTGCTGTCTTGAAGAATCAAGTGAATATTTCTACACATGCACAACATGCCTCATGGGCTTATAATCGGTGGTGGGATTCAGCCAGTTCGCACAACTTCAGGAGAACCGGTTGTTAACTTTCTGACCAGTTGGTGAACTGGTTGTTGGAAGAAATCATTAGGGCAGAGAACCAGTTGTTAAATTATTTGAATCCCACCACTGCTTATAATACATGTGCAAAAAGTAACTTTCCAGATTTAACAGACACCTGTTGAATGGTCTGTTAAATTGCTCTACAATCAGGTTTTAGTCAAGTGTTTTATCAAACATCCTAGATAAGCAAAACACGTACACACACACACACACACACACACACAGCTTTGAGCAAAAATTAACAAGAGCTCCTGGATGTAAAATTTATGAATATGAAGCTATACATCCTTGGACTCAGTGTTTGAAGAAATAAAGAAAACCTAGGTTTTATGTGACTCCAAAGGTGTAGAAGTATCATTGCTTCCTGAGCAGGCCATCCACAGGAGAATGGCTACCATTCATATGGTAGCCATGACAATGAAAATGAAGTCACCAGTGACTTAAGTAGATTAGTGGGATTCTTCCTTTCAGATGACACTCCTATGAGCTATTGAATGCTCCGAACATCTCTAACTCTTGCATAAACATTTACATGCTCTTATTGCAAAAATGTTGTGTTCCATTAGGTGGAAAACCCCGAGAGCACTGTCTTTAAAAAACTGTTTAACAACGAGAATGCCAATGCCTGAGAGCGCATTAGCTCTATAACAACTGGAAATTGTTTTTTCTGGGGTTGTGCGTTCATTGAGAGTCATGCAGTTCTTTGAAACGAAAGCTGGTTTCAAGTCTACTCAGTTCAACCAATGGACTGACTGATCCCAATCGGTCTCTTCAAATTTCAATCATGTTGGAAGGACAAAACTGCTTTGCTTTAAATTTTAGCAATTGTTGCAAAAACCCATGTAGAAAATATAAATGCACCAGTCAAAATGATCTTGCAGTGCGAGTCATAGCCTCTATTAATGCATTCCCATTTGTAATTCTTTACACAGTATGAGATTGGAAAGCTGTGATTAAAATTAATTAGGTTAAGTAAAGTTTACCTTCTCTTCCCTCCACCCCCGCCCCGAACACTGCTATTTGAAGGAAGGGAGGGTAAAACACTAGCTGCATCTGGCCCTGCGGGAAGCAACAGCTTCTTTCACACACACAAGAGTAAGGCTGCTTTGCTAGACATTCAGTACTGTCTCTTTGGCCCATCTTCTGCAAGATAAACTTCTTTCCAAGAGCTAATGAAGTCCAAAGTCCTTGTTGACACCTTGCAAAACAGGAACTGTGATCCAAAGTTATGAACATCTCAAATGAAAAATAACCATTTTAGGGGGAAAGAAACTGCTTTCCACTCGCCCATGTTCAGGTGCTTTCCATCTCTACAAAGAAATAGAAAGATGCCGCATTGAAATAAAAGGATTATTATTTATTAATATTATTTCTTTTATTCATTAAACATGAAACTCAGTCAACTGAACATTTAAAGATGTGTCATAAATACCATTGACTGGTGCTAATGGTTGATACGGGTTGCTGCCAGCGTCCTGAGTATCAACTAAGTATCTTCTTAAAATATATGATGTTCCGAGTAGCACA